GGCAGGGTCCGGATCTCTGGGGATAGTTCATTCCATAGGGTCGGAGCGGCTACAGAGAAGGCCCTCCCCCGGGGAGCCGCCACCGACATTGTCTGGTTGATGGCACCTGGAGAAGGCCCATCCTGTGCGATCTTATCGACCGTTGGGAGGTATGCGGCAGAAAATGGTCTTGCAGATTGGTGGTGCATGTGTCAGAAACCGGGTTTATTTTTGATTTCCAGCAAAACCAAGCATAGCGAACAATAGGTTTGCTTAACGACCACCACAAAAAGGTCATACTGATGACCTGCTTTACAACCATCATGGCTTATGACTTTAATTGCGGGCTCAATTATGGTCGTAACTTGAGGATTACCTGTCTAAAGAATGGGTCCAATGCTGTGGTCCTTGGCAATCCTGTGAGATTTCCACAAAGGAAAAAGAGGCTCGTGAGAAGAGTTCTGTGTGGACTTTGGGCTTGTGTTATCCATTCCCCTCCAGCTAGATAATTGTGGATGAGTTCAGGTATGGTCTGATTAGGAATTATTTGGGGGTTCCTTCTTTCCCTCATCTTGATGTTCCCAAATTCTTGGGTAGTGACGCAGTGGTTAAAATGCAGTGTTGCAGGTTAACTCTGCATTACACTGCCAGGAGTTGGAGTCTCACCAGGCTCGAGGTTGACTCAGCCTTCCATCCTTCCAAGGTCGGTAAAATGAGGACCCAGATTGTTGGGGGCAATAGGCTGACTCTGTAAGCCACTTAGAGAGGGCTGTAAAGCACTGGGAAGTGGTATATAAGTCTAAGTGCTATTGATATTGCTGTTCTTTGCAGTTTGCTGACCTGTCAGATGCAGCCAATCGGAATCACGAGGCCCTTCGCCAGGCCAAACAGGAGATGAACGAATCTCGCCGTCAGATCCAGAGCCTGACCTGTGAGGTGGATGGACTCAAAGGAACAGTGAGTAAAACATTCACCCTGCTCTCAACCTGGGTCAGCAGCAGATGGATGGCATAGGTCAAAGGACAAGAGAGGGAAAGTCCCAGGTCAGCAGACAATACTGTCACCCTGCTCTGTGTGATGAAATCCCAAAGGAAAGATTGATTACAGCCCTCAAATTATGACAACTTCATTGGCTACGTAGGCCATTTGCAGACTCTGGCAAAGACCAGAAAAAGCCCTGTATGATATAGGACCAAGGATTTTGAGAAGCCACCTTCCTTCACCTGAGCCTGCCTGGGTTTTAAGATCTTCAGGTAGAAAACACCTTGTCTCTGCTTTATCCTCAGTGGAGCAAGTTTGACAGGAATAGAAAAAGGGCCTTCTTGGTGATGGCTCCTTCCAGGCTCTAGAATCACTAAATGTACTCTGTTTTCTGCAACTTCCTCGTGGTGGCAAGGACCTTTTTCAGGCAGTTTTTGGGCTTTAGGATGATTTGTCAATAGCTGAAACAGGTATGGCTAAGGACAGAAGTGGGTTTCACATAATTTTACCACCCGTTTGCCGCACACCGAAAATGTGAGTGCATGCGGCATTCCGCACATGCGCTTTGCTCAGACAGCTTAGAAAACGGAGAGCATAGCACCAGAGCGGTTGGTCGGCCACTACTGGTTCCTCTGAACTGATCCGAACCGGATGAATACCACCAGTAGCAACGTGGCTGCTGTTCATTTTTTCATTCAGTTCTGTTTTAATCACATTTTTGTATTTGGTTGTCGGTAGCCTTGAGCACCATTTATGATGGAAAGGCATATTGTAACTGCAATAAGTACAAAAAAATGAAGAGAAGCCGCCTTGAGTGCTATCAAGCTATCTGGACTCAACTGTTTTTAAAGCCTGTTGAGGCCAGAAGTTAGCGCTGCACCCTCAGGATCACTTTGCGAATTGCTTGTGAATGAGTGTGATTTTTTGGGGTGGGTGGGTCAGTGGTTTGCGTACCCATTTCATGGATTTCGGTCTTGGTGCTGCTTGCTCTTCATCTTGCTAGAACGAAGCCCTGCTCAGGCAGATGCGAGATCTTGAGGACCAATATGGGGCGGAGGTGGGCTCCTACCAAGAGACAGTGGGGCGGCTGGAGCAGGAGATCCAGCACATGAAGGAAGAGATGGCTCGGCACCTCCGGGAGTACCAGGACCTGCTGAATGTCAAGATGGCTCTTGACATTGAAATTGCCACCTACCGCAAGCTGTTGGAAGGAGAGGAGAGTAGGTAGGTCAACAGTGGTCAGATCCTGCCCTGCTCATCTTTTAGGTTCATGAGCACATTCTGAATGTCACGGGTGCCACCGCTGAGTGGCTACTGCAGGCAGCATGGCAAGATACAAAACACTGGGAAATATCAATTGGTTTTGGGCAGACAAGGACTTACCCAAGAAACTGAGCATGAAGCAGACATGAAAGTCGAACCACAAAAGCTATTCATTGGGCTTCCACCATTTTCCACTCCAACACAACATCTGTGTTGGTGGGTGCGGTCCAGTGGTGGGTTGCTAACCGGTTTACTACCGATTCGCTCATGCTCGTGCGCAACACTTCTGCACATGTGCAGAAGCTTCCGGGCTGGTGGGCAGAGCCTCCCATCACTGCCACTATTGGTTTGGCTGAACCGGGAGCATTCCACCTCTGTTTCAGTCTCTTGCAAGGTCTTCCATCTAGCCTGCCCCAACACATTGCCCTCCAGAAGCCTTGGGACTTGCAATTTTAAGAGCTCCTAATCCGCATAGACAGGGGCTCATAAACTTTGTGCGGGGCAGTTCTAATGCACCTAGAGAGCACCAGTTTACAGAAGGCTGACCATCCGAAAATTTCCTGTCCCCACCCAACCCATTTCCTTTCCCTGAAACTTTAATTCAAACAAATGAGTCTTGCTCCTCGCTCCTAAAAGTCTCCAGTCTTTTCTTTTCCTAACCTTCCTGATAGGTAGGCACTTTCCTCTGTTTCCACCAAACTTACTCTAATGTTCTCCTTTCCATCTCCTCTCAGCATTTTCATATCAGACCAGGTGTATGTAGGAAAGTCTCTGGAATAATATAGGCCAGTCTTGTTTTGTGGGATGCCTGGCATGTATTTCAGACAGTAGGAGGGATGGGCACCGGAAGGATTATCTACAGCTGTCTGGGTTACAGCTACAGCATTGGGAAAGATAGTCTTTATTTTTACCTAGTTCTGAACAAAATTTTATAGGAGTATGTGAGGAGGAAGGCAACCTTCTCCTTTTCTGGGAGGGATGCAGGAAAGCCATATAAAAGGGAAAGTTTGGAAATTAACTTGTAGAAGTTTCTTTAATGCTTACTGGCTTATATGTTCCCTGCAGGATTTCAGTGCCTGTCCAATCCATGGCATCCTATAGCATCAGAACTGCAGGTGAGCCAATAGCCAGCAATGGCTCCTCGATGCACCCATGTGTTTTGTGTTCTTTGACAAAGTTATGGGCTTCTGAAAGAGATGGTGGCAGGGGCAAAGATGTCAGCAATATTCTGGGTGGACTTGAGCATCTCTTTGGCCATATTTTGCACATACTTTGTTTCTAATGAGCAATAACTGGAGGGGAGCATTTTGGCTCGAGGGAAACAAGCTTGGTTTTGGAGGTTCCCTTATCTCAAGTTGTGTAGGCAATCATGTCTCGTCAGGGGATAGGCTGCTGGGAGTTTGCATGGATCCAGGAGATCCTCTAGCAAGGATTCTGCCCAGTTTGGCGAACCCCCAAATACCACCCCTGGCTGGCCACGCCTCCCCCTCCCCTCCCCACCAGAGTCTCCATGCGGCCCGTTCATCATGCCAGGTAAGTGCAGGGCCTGTGCGGAGGCTCGGGGAAGGAAAAAAATGGGCCAACCGGAAGTTCCGGAAGTTGAGAAATGGGCCTGTTACCGTCCTCCGGAGGGCCTCCAGAGCCCGGGGAAGGCCAATTCTGCCCAACCTCCAGAGCCTGGGAGGGTGAAAAATATGCCTCCCCCTGCTGTTGTGCAGGAGGCCGACTAGGCTACGCCCACCATGGCCATGGCCACCCAGCAACGGGGCAGCGAACCCATTGCTGCCATTTTTGAAGCCCACTCCTGCTTATCCTCAGTTGCTTTTTCTTGGAAAGAAACCCCAACGCTGCTTCATTCCCTACGTCACCTCTCCACTTTCCTTTCTTTCTAATTTCTCCCAGCTGGTAGCCAGCGGTCTTTCATGATGGGAGTATGAGAGAAAGAAGATAGATGAGCTGCTGGGTGTTTGGGCGTTGTAGTTCTCAGTCCCCTGCATGACCCTGGATGGGGAAAGAATGAGGGCCCTTTGAAGGCGGAGCCTTTTCTCTCTCAAACCTCTCTCCCCCCATAGTTTCAGAGCCGGATCCAAGTGCAGAGAGCCACACCCGGAAGACAGTGCTGATCAAAACCATTGAAACCCAGGATGGAGAGGCAAGTCACTGATCTGTTCATACTGGAGATTTGTGTGAAAGAGGAACTCGGGGCAGATGTGTGATTTTTAAGTTGAGGGGATTGGACCTAAGCCTAGGCAATTTTAAGACTTGTGGACTTCAACTCCCAGAATTGGAGAGTTAAAAAGAGAATTTTAAGACTTGTGGACTTCAACTGGGAATTGAAGTCCACAAGTCTTAAAGTTACCAAGTTTTGGGACCCCTGGCCTAGGGCACAGCAAAAAAAAAAAAAAAAAAAAAAAAAAAAAAAATTTTACCCCCCCCCCCAAAAAAAAACCAAACCCTCCAGAGACCTAATTAGAGTTTTGCTGTTATTTCAGTCAACCAAAAGAAACCTGACTTCATAAAATTCCCGAGGGGCTCCAAGTTGGGGAAGGACTGCCCTGTGCTGCTCTCATGGCTTGCCCTTTTCTCTCCCTGCAGGTGGTGACCGAGTCAAGGAAGGAGCAGAGAGCTGAGATAGAGAAGTGAGGCTGGCCACCCCAGCAAGGTCCCCTGGGGGACCCCTGAGAGAGGCGCTAAGCTCACCTCTTTGCAAAAGTCCCAGTTGCAGATTCCCCTCTTCCCTCACTAAGCCACACTGGCCTTATTTACGATGTTGATGTTGATGATACCTCTTACCACTGGCAGCCTTCCCACACTGTTCCGGGCTTCCTGAGCCAGCTCTCTCTGCCCTTCGGACTGTAATCTGTCTACAGCCTGGTGGTAGTCCCAGCAGTAACCACCAATGGTCTTGGGAGTGGAGATGGCTTCCCCCTGCTCTTTTCTTCCACCGCCTCCCACCTCTTTGTATCACATTCCTTTTCACCTCTCCCGCAAAGAGCCCTTCCCCAACCAGTACCCCCCCAAAACCAAGCTGCCTTCCTGTAAAGTACCACTCACAAAGCCAGCCCACCCTAGGAACCAATTTGCCATGTATGTCTAGATTGATTCTAAAGGCTGTGGCTTTCCAGCTCTTGTGGAATTAAACCTCCCAGCCTCTTAGGTCCTACAGAGTGTTGCTGAGACTTGTAGTTTAGCAGTAGCTGGAAGGTCCCAGGTTCCCTACCACTGCCAAACACTTAGATGGCTGCAGGTTGGCACGCTCTGACAACTTGCAAGGCCCACTAAGCACACCAACTTGGAAGCATCAAAGAAGGCCAGGCGCTTGCTCATAACCTTGCTTTACTGCTCTTGTTGAATCTAAACAATTCTATGTGCTGGCTACAGACACCCTTCATGGTTTACAAAGATTCCCAAGAGAATCGTGATAGGAACTTGCTTTATCCAGGTGCGATAGGCGTGGCTTCCCAATCAGTTCTCACTTTTGTGAGCTTACGGTGAGAAGGTGCATAGTTAGCTTCAGGTGATCGGTGCTGAAAGGGAGAATAGCGCTGGCCATCTTTATGTAGGGCTATTTTAAGGTTGACAAGGCAATGCAACTAAAGCATTTTAAAAAATTAAATGGCAACCGGTGTTCATTTCCTTAGTTGTTCTGAGAGTTAATGAAATGCATCAAGGGAGTGTAAGTGGAGACTACGACTTCAGATCTTCTCAAACAAGCTCCCAAATGAAGTTGTATAAAACAGGTGATTCATTGTCTTTTATTGTTTAAAGCAAATTTTGTAAGGGAATCTTTAAAAAAAAACACCCTCCAAAATAAGCCTTCTGACCCTCTAGTGGTAATTTTAAGAAACTGATCCAGTAAGTGTTTATTCAGAAGCCTCAAGCCTTTCTTAACTGTTTGACTTCCTTCCACTCAAATATAATTTTTACTTCACTTTTAAAAGTGATGTCAATTTTGCCTTTTAAGACACAAGTGAAGCTAGAAAGCTACCTTAACACTTGAAATTGTGATTCACGGAGAGGAGAACATTTTCCTGTTCAGCTCTTTAATGCTCCTTTAATGTCTGATAAGCAATTTTTTTCTGCTCTCTTTTTGGGAGAAAGGACCAGAACAGGTCAAGATCATCATGGAATTCTCCTTCATCTGCACAGCATATAATTAAGGGTTGTGCAGGCAAAGAAAGCAGAGGAGCAGCTCTAGAAATCTGGAAAAAAACATCAAACTGCCTTTAACTCAAAAGGTCAAACAAATTGCAGAACAAAAAAAAAAAAA